ATTATACAGAGATAACTAATAGAAAACTTTCCAGAATGGTTGCAAGGTATTTCCACTATGTCTCAAGTGCATTTTTCAACATGCAACCCCCAAACCACATTATTGACTGTATTGACTCATCCAATGATGAGCTCTACTCATCCCCAGCACAGACCCCATCAAAAGTCTCAAGCTCTACAAGTTTCCTACCTTGACATAATTAAGTGGATATAAGAAAGACTAATAAAAAAAGACCTGTATACAACAGCAATTCAACTCAAAACCTATGTGTATTTGGTCTAGTGTGATCAGATACAATTTTTCTGGTCAAAACTGGCTTTAAATTCATAATCATTGATGAACCAAAAAAAAGTGCCCGAGACAAAGATTTGACTGCATTCTAATACCAAATAGAAAAACATATAATTATTACTAATAAATATTAATAATTTTTTTTTCAAATTTTGAAAGCCACACAAACAACAATAAAAAAAAGAGGGATGAATAAGGAAATAATAATAATAAAGAACTACATAGAAAGAAGAAAAAAAAGATAAAATATGTAAATACATATGCAAATTATTCATCAAAATAGGATGCAATTTTGTAGAAAAACAAACCTCCAGTGGGACCAAATATTTATAATAGAATGAAATAATCTCTGAAATAAATCATTCAGAGAAAGGACGCTGCTGCCAATATTATGACTTTATACATTTCAAAATGAAAAGTTCTACAAAGAAAAAATCATTTAAAACATTGAAGTTTTTTTTTTTTACACCTTATAAAAGCCTATCAAATTCGGCGGTTAAAAAAAAAAACTTAAATTTATTTTTACAAAAAAAAAAAAAAAGAAAAGAGTATATATATATATATATGATAATTTTTTTTTAAGAGAGAAGACAATAATTTCTTATTTACAAATAATTTCAAAGGGTTTATATATATAATTTTAGCACTACAAAAAAAAAGGTAAACGAAGAAGAAGAAAAAAAAAGAAAGAATCAACTCAAAAAAAAAAAAAAAAAGATTTACCATAGTCAAAATTGATTAATTTTAAAAAGTCAAAAGTTGTGAATTCCTCAATCTAAAAATGAAAAAATATATTTGGTAAATACATTATTACAGATAATAATAGTAATCAACACAGTAAATCTGAAACATTTTTGAGAAAAAAAAAACACAAAAAGATAAAAATTATATAAACACACCTTTACACTTTATATCTCACACAATGTGAAAGGTATAAATATATTTTCAATATATTAATATTTTATATATATATATATATTAATTTTCTTTTTCATATATACGAATAAATCCCTGGTCCCAAAATATAGACTCTCAATAAATATGTTTTTTTTTTTTGGAGGGAAGTAATATTTCAGAGAAATGAATATTTAAATTTAAAAAATCGAAAAAAAAAAAAAAGTCTACAATTCATTTATCTATGAATATTCAAATAAAAAAACTGAAATATTCAAATCTGAAAAAAAAAAAAATTCTAGGATTCATTTATCTATGAATATTCAATAAAAAAACTGGCAACATTGCACATTCAAAGATAAGAAGCAATAAGAAGAAAAAAAAATTTTTTTTTTTAAAGGCTGGAGATGTTTAGGTGGTATGAAGAAGATATATAAATAGCAGGGAAAAAAAATGCTCAAAAAATTTCACTCAACACAATAACAAAAGATAAAATTTCATGAAAAGAGTATAATAATGTAGCAAATAGATTTTAGCAGCAAATGTGTTTAGTGCTAATGTGCAAGGATTGAAAAAGGGGGGGGGATATAGATTGGGAAGGAATAAAAACAGTAATATAGACAATCTATATCAAAACTACAGAATTGAAAAAAATAATAAACAATCCCAAATGTACATACATAAAAAAAAAAACCTTCCCAATAAAGACAGACACAACAACTTTACACAAATTTTTTTTTCCTCTCTCTTTTTTATCTTTTTTTATAAGAAAAACAAAAAAAAAAGAACAAAGTTTTAAAGAAGAAGAAAGGCAGTGATTGTATTTTTTTTTTTCCTTCATACATCAATTAATAGGATAAAAACCATTAAAAAAAAGGTGGGTGAGACACATATTAAAACAAAAATTCCATTTAAATATAGAGGGATTTTAAACTATAGAAACAAGACAACAAAAAAAGAGAAGGTATAGGAGGAGTTTTATAGATTTATTTAGAGAATGGAATAGGAAATGAATCGAAATACGACCAGAAAAGAAAAAAAAAAAAAAAGCAAATATGGTATGAAAAAACTTCTTAATTTCATTACTCCAAGGAATCAGAATTTTTGGTTGAATATAAAAGTCGGGTGTTGAATTAAAGACAGTTGAGAATCAAGGAGCTTATACTGTCTATAGAGATATTTTTTATAAAGAAGTTCTAATGAAAACAAAAATGTATTTTTTTATTGTCTTAATCACAATACGACCAGAGAAAAAAAAAAGAAGCACATACAGTCCAACTTTTTAATTTCATCACCCCAAGGGGATCAAAATATTCGGATCTGGCCTGCCATTGAGTAGTGCTCCCAGTCTTGATGAGACAAAGGCATTCTACTTCACCCAGTGTGGAGATAAGAAAGAAGAAGAAGAGAATATTCGGTTTAAAATAAAAGCCGGGTGTTGAATTATAGACAGTTGAAATAAAGTCGCCGTTGAATTAAAGAGGTAAAACTGTCTATATAGATATTTAAGAAGAGATCTACTGAAAACAAAAACATATTTTTTATTGTCTGAATTGCAATACGACCAGGAAAAAAAAAAAAGATCAAATACAGTCAAACAGGATCAAAATATTTGGTTTAAATAGAAGTCAGGTGTTGAATTATAGACAGTTGAAATAAAGTCGCCGTTGAATTAAAAGAGCTTATACATTCTATTATGCAAATCATTATACTGTATTTTCTTCTGTAGAAGGGAGTTGGTGCCTGAAAGCTTAGAGATTTAAAAAGGTAAAAGAGATTTTTCCTTGGAGGTTTGATGTTTTTACTTATTTATACTGTCTTTAAGAGAAATATTCAAGACATTTCTACTTAAAACAAACAAAAAAAAGGTATTTGTCTTTTCAATACTGCATTTTGTATTATTATGGGGGTTGGTAGAGAAAAAAAAGTACATAAAGAGGGTTGGATTAAGAAGGATTGACAAGACCAATATCAAAAAAGATTAAATGAATGGACAAATGAAAGCAACAAACAAGACAAGAATAAAGGAACCGAAAGCTCTAAGAACAGAAGAATTATTGCTTGTGGCTCAAAGACTCTTTATCAAATACATATAATCCTCCCTCTCTCACATACAAATACTAAAAAAAAAAAAGATTAAAAAAAAAAAACTAATCAAGCAACATGCATATACATATATATATTAAAAATTTCTTTTTTAAATATATATTAATATTTTCTTACAAGAATTTTTTTTTCCTCTTAAAGACTTCGCGCGAAGAGAAGTTAATATATATATTTATATTATAAAAAAAAAAAAAAAAGATACACATTCATGACAATCACCACATTCACAGAAAAAAAAAAAAGCTAATAATAAGATAAAAGTTTCTACCTAATTGAAAAAAAGCTAGCAGCTAGAAACTAAAAAAAAAAAAGACCATAAAAAAAAAATTATATTGTAGACAATGAATTGAAAAAAAAAAAAAAAGTCCATATAATCAAAGTATTAGAAAAAAAAAGTGATATAACAAATTTTAACCTGGACGCATTTTTTTTTTCAAGAAAAAAAAAATTATATATATATATAACATAATTAGTCTTTTAAATAATAATCATACTTTTTTTTTTTGAAAAAAGATGAATAATAAATGCAATTCTGCATATTTTTTTCCCCCTTTCTTTATATATACTATTTAAAAAAATAATAATAAATGAAAATAATATACATATAACAAGGAAAAAAAAAAAAAAAACAAATTGATGCAAAATCTCTCTTACATACATTACAACAATTTTTCCAATTGTTTATAAATCAAAAATTTTTTTTTTCTCCGAAGAGAGCAAAAAAAAAAAAAAAATTTTTTTTTCTTTAAATATATATTATATATGTATATATATATATATATAAGTAATTTATTTTTTTTTTGGTAAAAAATATATTTTTGTGGGAATATATCGTCAATCCTGCGCGCGTTGAACCACGCAAGCGGCATATGCGCTGTATTCTGCTGGAGGGTGGAGAAACCTAGCCAACTGAAGATGGGGGGGTAGGTAGGGGGTGGGGAGAGAGAGAGAGAGAGATATATAAGAGGATGATTGCGCGAGCTCATCACAAGAGTTCGTACTTGCGCAGGTGCATACGCTGGATGATATCCCTACAGTCGTTGAAGACTCGCCGTATGTTCTCCGTATCGACTGCGCAAGTGTAGTGGGGGTAGCAGTAGTGTTTGCCATCGCCACTAGCCGTGCTGATCCTCTGTGAACAACACCAAAAAAGAACATCCCGCGACAACAGATCAGACAAGACAGTTTGGCAATATACACAGAGAGGCAATTACACAATTGGGTAGACTTGTGAAAAAACCTACCAAAAACTGATCTCGGATGAAGTGTTTGGCCCGCACCACTTCTGGGTCTTCTCCAGGATCCGCTACAGCTGCGCAAAACAGCCAGTCCAGTCTCTCACTCTCTATACTAACACCTCTCTGTACTACATATGGGACACACATTCCACACAGCCTAGCAAAAAATCCAATGGCTTGCATTAGATGCACTAAACAGGACCTTTGGGAGAGGCCACTGCTTATCATAAAACAGCTTGAGGAGCATGAACTCATGGAATTCGTATAATCTTTTACACATCACAAATACTCATTACAAATCAAAAGGGGAGGAGGCACAAAATAAAACTTTTATTTTAGAAATAAATTTTACTTGAGGATCTAATTACAAGGCTGAGAGAGATTGAAACTGATTTATTACAATGTCCATATAAGATTATATAAGGCTAAATACAGAATAAGAGAAGAGAGAGAAAGAAAGGAAAAGAGAGAAGCCTACAGCTACACCTGGTGTTCCCAGGTGGTCACCCTCCCAAGTACTGACCGGGCCTGACATTGCTTAACTTCAGTGGATCCGAGGAGAACCGGTGTTTTCAACGTAGTCGGGATAGAGGGGGGGAGAGTTAACCTTCAAAAATATATAAAAAAGCATTTTTGAACTGAAGGCAATAAAAGGACACTTTGACTTAGCTGCATTTTGAGAGAGGTTCAAGTTTTATTGTGGCGCTCTCTCTTCTCTCTCTCTCTCTCTACTGATAATTGGGACAGATTGTTCCTTTTGAGAAAGCCATTCTGAGCATGATATAATTTGGATTACACGTTTGGATTACACGTGGTACAGGCCATGATAATCATGGTGGGTATGTGTAGGCAACTGCTTTTACTGTAAGTGCACCACATGTCTATACATGTGAAAAGCAGTTCGACTTTACACTTACAAATGTGCCAGAGCCTCGTTTGGTTACTTGCACTCGCTGGTGGGGTTGGGCTTTTGCAAGAATCGGGGGCCATTGGAGCATATTTTTTATTAAATCAGAAAATAGTGCCCAATGCGGGAATCGAACCTGGGTCGTAGCGGTCGAAAACAAACGGTTTAGACCCTCCTTCCACCGACCCCCTAGTATAATTATACTAGAGAGAGATGCAACAAGCAACTCACCATCTGGGGGAGTCTTGTAGTGAGCAAAGTCAGGGAAGTAATCCTCCAGCTTGGACTTGCCAGCCTTGATCTTCTCCTGGAGCAGGTCCTGTTTGTTGAGGAACAGGATCACTGATATTGTCCGCAGCCACCTGTCACCAATACCAGGGTTCATACAGCTGCCCACTAGAAATTCCTATTGTAACACACTGTCCAATAATTCACGTTTTTTTTTTTGCTTATCCCTGGTACACAAAGTACAGACCATGGTAATCATGTGTTACGACCACTAAATTGGTCGTCTTTAGTTTTATGCAAATATGTTTGACTTTAAACTAGGATAAAAAGTATGTAAATCTCTTTGTTGTACAAATTGTTATGTAGATTTCTTTGCTGTATAAATTATTATGTAAATTTTCTTAATGTATAAATTGACCGTGTTTTTTAATAAAAATATAGTTCTGGTTAAGAGATTGTACGTGGCGGTTATCCGTTCTTCAAGCCTCCTCTCCCCTTGGTGTATAAGGTAGCCGGACGAGTGACTGGACAAAGAGGCACTAGGGTCGTCTCTCGAGGTTAAAGAAGAGACACCTTTCAATATTGAGGAGAAGGCCTCAAGTGGCCTCAATATCATGGTTGGTAGAAGTAGGCGACTGCTTTTTACTCCAAGTGCACCACATGTTGACACATATGAAAAGCAGAATAAATCAGGTTTAAGTAACTAACCCTGCAGTTAATGGGCTTTAAAAACGCCCCAATATAATGATGCTAGGATAAATCACAATTTGGATTAGAGATACAAGAAAATAAGATCTAATCCAAATGAATTAATAGTGTGTGACATTTCGGTGACAATGCTGTTACAGAAATATCACACACAATTTATTTGGATTAGGTCTTTTTTTTCTTGTATATATCTATAATGATGCTACAAAATGAACGTGGATGAAGCCAGCAAAGGCTGGGTTTGACAGGTCCGCTAAATCAAGCTGAAAGTATATGTAAGTTGGATAAATGCCTATATTATCAAAAGTAAAAAATAGTGAACAGTGGAGTGAACCCAGGAGGAGCTCTGAATCAGAAATAGACAGCATCAAACAACTCTAACAAGATTTAGAACAGGCCATCTCAAGCCATTGAAGATAAGAAAATAATAACAAAATCTACCCCAGTTGCCCAAAATGTAGCTTGGCACCTGCAGCTCCAGAACACATTTTGGCTTGCATTAGATGTACTAAACAGGACCTTTGGGAGAGGCCACTACTTATCATAAAACAGCTTGAGGAGCATGAACTCATGGAATTCGTGTAATCTTTACACAAGGGGATAAGAAACAACAACAACAATGTTGTGAAGCGAAGAGTTTCTTGTAAAGTTTTTCTGTTTAGCCGGGCTTTCGAGCATTTCTGTCCTTCAACAGGAGCAAAATGTGAGCCTCGTTTCAACTCCTATAGAAAGGCAGAAATGTACCAAAGCTCAGCTAAACAGAAAAACTTCATAAGAAACTCTTCCCCTCACAATTTTTTACTTTTGAAAGAATACACACATGGAAAAGGGCAGTAAACCAAACTACTGGTTTATTGGAGAGGGGGGGGAAATCCCAAATTGTTTTGATGTACATTTATGCTAATTAAGTGTTATTTTAGGGAAAATATGGCAAATTTGCTTTTTAAACAACTTAAAAACAGTCTGGAGCAATATTTAGACAGAAGACTATCTTATAGAGGACATTTTTAGAGAGAAGTTTTATGTCTGGATAAATAAGACCTTTTTTTATAGTAAGTACTAGCCGAATGACACGGGCAACGCCCGTGTTTTACCCGATTGAATGTTTTTATTCAAATACTATTTGTTACAATTATAAATTGGCGCCTTAAATAAATGCATATATTAGTTAATAACTATAGCCTATGTAGCCTGTCTATGTACCGTTGGCTTCCGTAGGCATCTCATACTGGGAAAAGGAAAGAGAGGATTCCATTTAGTTATTAACTAATATATGCATTTATTTAAAGAGCGACCCGCTCCAAACCAATAGTTACAAAGACGAAAGAGCGAGTGGTTAGGCATGATGGGGGGGAAAGGTGGCGTGACCGTAGCCAACCATAGGAGGGCGCCATTTAAAAAAAAAAGCAAACGGTGACAGAGGCCGATGAGGAATGACGCTCGTAACTGTATATAGAATGGTTTTCTCTCAGACACATTTGGCTTGCATTAGATGCACTAAACAGGACCTTTGGGAGAGGCCGCTGCTTATCATAAAACAGGTCGAGAAGCATGGACTCATTGAATTTGTGTAATCTTTACACAAGTGGATAAGAAACAACATGATATCCCAATTAAAGTAGAAGGCTGCCCATGTAGCCAGCCCACCTGTTGTTCCAGATGCTCTTGAAGAGCTCCAAAGACTCGCGCAAGCGGTTCTGGTTGGGGTCTTCTCTCAGGACCATGTTGTAGCTGCTGCAGGCAGTGATGAAGATTATTGCAGTGACATCATTGAAGCACTGGATCCACTTGCGCCGTTCGTCGCGTTGACCACCCACATCAAACATGCTGCAAACACCCGCCCAGTCCGTTAATCTTAAACAACATTGACACAAGACAACTTCATTTCTGTAAATAAACTCCTCTAATATGTGCTCCTTGTATGTTATAAGTAAGGTAATAACTCCGCCTTTGCCGGTCCCAAGCCCGGATGAAAAAGGAGGAGGGGGAGCAGTAACAAGCTCAGTAAAAAAACCTGGGTTCAGCTGGCCCGGCTGATAGTACCCTGTAAGTGCTCCTAATCCAGGGATACAGGATGAGTTTGTACTCCATGTTAGGAGCAGCTGCACATGGCGTCTGTTCCTCATGTCAGAGGAGGCCATTTCTTTTGGAGCTAAGTCGGCATGCTACTGAGTAGTGCTCCCAGTCTTAATGACAAGGGCAGACACATTCTACTCCACCCAGTCATGTTGGTTGTCAAACAGACACCATCAAGGGTCACAACTTGATACTCTAATATGATTGAGTGGAGATAAGAAAGAAGAAGTAAGGTAATACAGGTAAAACCTTTCTATAGCGAACCCCAATAGGAATGAACCTTTAGTTCACTATAGCCATGTTTACTATCGTATAAAATAAAAAATTTGGGATTATTTTGAGTTTATTATAAGGGAAGGTTCACTATATCCCCAATTCGTTTTAGCAAGGTTATACTGTATATGAGAGGAGACTTGCTAGAGGACACACCTATCTATAAAGGACAATTATCATTGCCAAAATTAACATTTTTAACAATAACCTGCTCTCCAGCATGAGGATGCTTTTCCCTAAAAGAAGCTTTGTTTCTGCAACTAGGTGTTGTCCTTTAGCTCTACTATAGATATTATGGTGACACCCCTAACATGAAACTATTATTCATAGATAGCTATTTATTTATGATTATTTATTTCTTGCCACCAAATGGGTGAACAGAGTATTCAAGAACTGGTCATGTGACATCTGGAATTGACAACAGGTGAAGAGACACTCAGTCTAACAAGGTGTGCCTGATTAGCAGGATGGTCTTTTGTCTGTATGGAGGATTGTGACTTCCCCTTGAACCTCAAGCAAGCAAGTCCATCTTTCCCTCAGGATGCCAACAGACTTAATCTTGTCCTCCATTATCAGCTTGGAAAAAAAAAATTGTTGACTTCCTTCAGCTTTCTTCCACAACAAATGTATAGTGCCTTTTGTAAAAAGCTATATCCCTTGGCAGAGCTGACTACTATAGGGCGCGTCCCCAGGATCATGGTGTCATAAACAACGAAAGCTGCACCCCTACACCCCATTTCTTGAACTCATGGAATTTGGTTAAACTTTACACAAGGGGATAAGAAACAACAACAACAAGAAGCTATATCCCTCGGCAGAGCTGACTACTATAGGGCGCGTCCCCAGGATCATGGTGCCATGAACAATGAAAGAGGCACCCCTACACCTTATTTCTTGAACTCATGGAATTTGTTTAAACTTTACACAAGGGGATAAGAAACAACAACAACAACAAAAAGCCATTTAGAGTAACAGCTATTAGAAATAAGTTTTAATTTTGTTTTAAGGAGAAGGGTGGTAGGCACTTACTGGAAGTTGACTTTATCCACTTGGAACTTGGTCTCAAAGATCCCAGATGTCAGGACACGGCACCTGAGGATATCCTACGGCAGACAGACAGGGAGGTAGGGAGCCAATCACTACATGGGATAGCTCAGCCACTCACCTGTTCCGTAGGACTGTAGTCTGGCTGCTTTATAACATGTACTCTATCTAGAAAACTGGAAGCACACACACACACACTACATCACACACAGACACCACTCATCTTAAATGAAATGAACTATTAAGTTACAGTAAGACCTATCTATATAGTGAACCTCAATGGGAAATAACTTTTAGTTCATTATAGCCACAGTTTTTTTTCTTTCAAAATTTTTATATTGTATCATTAAAGGA